GTTAAGTGAAAAAACAATGATCTGGGTGGTGACCAATGTGAGGTTTTAGGCCTGGGTTTGGAGTCTCTGAAGATTTTGCTGAAGTGGGGGGTCTTTCTTGGGGCAATGTTTTGTGGTTTTTTGGTTTTCTGGTGCAAGAGGTTGCTTGCGGTGGAGGAAGTGGTGAATGCAAGGTACGGAGTGATTGAGCAGTGGGTATTGTTGTCGAGGAATGCGTGGCCTAAGGTTTCTATGGTTTGTAAGATTTTCAAAGACCAAGGTGTGATTCTGACCGCACTTTAGGTCTATCTGCATTATTCTCAATGGCAGAGACTTCTATAACTACACTTGTGGCCATGGAACGTTTGCTTTCTTTGTTTGATGATTGATGATTCTTGTAATTAGTGAATAGCAATTGAAATTTGAATTTCAGTATAGAAATATCGAAAATTTTGGAAATATAAAATATGTGAAGTTGAGGAACATTCACATTTAATGATTGTTAACTTTCGGTAACTTTTATCCTGGAAAGTTTGTGGTTATTGTGTAATGGCATTTGCTGACTGAAATATTGCGTTAAGTTTAGCAAAGATTAATCTGATCTGCTTTCTCAATTCTTGACTGTGAATTTCATGCAGCATTATTAATGTTGTCTTGTTTGGTTTAGATGATGCTGGTTTCTACTGTGTTTATATGCTTCATATTAACTTATAGAAGAACAGAATTTTTTTTTTTTTGTTTGAATATCACCAAGCCGTCAAGAAACTTTGATCTCATTGGTGATTCGATGCTAAATTGTGTCAGGTTTGTGAGCTGAATTGTTGGTTAGTGTTTTTTCCCTGTTATCCACAAGCTGCTGCATCTTTATAATGTTAAGACACTGCTTTATTTCATTATTTTTTGCACTTTTAAGATTTCTGACCTAGTTCCCTCTATTTGTCTCAGAGCCATTCTATGGTACAATTTGCTTATACAATAGGGAGAGAAGAGAAAAATTGGCAGAAGATTTCTATTTTAGCATTCTACCAACTGAAATGCAGGATGTAAGCCTTAAAACTAATTTAGCATTAAATTCTTTGGTGCTTTGGTTTTTCATATTGATGACTTAAAAATCCACTCTTTCTCATATACCTGGACAGACTAATAAAGTATCTTCAGAACCTCGGGGACTTTTCTATTTAGATGCTCCATCTGCATCTGTGTGTCTACTAATCCAATTAGAGAAGCCTGCAACAGAAAGAAGGGGGAGTGACTCCTTCTGTTTATTCATGTAAAGAACCTATATGTACGAAGAACTTATATGTTTCCATCTTGTTCATCTTCAATCTGACCTCTGATTAAATGTGACAAAATTTCTCTTTTGTTGGCTTGCTTGTTACCTAGCAGCAAGAATTTTACCTGTTGGCTTCCTTGTTACCTGGCAGCAAGATTTTTACCTGTTGGCTTGCTTGTTATCTGGCGGCAAGAATTTTAACTATTGCCCCCTCATCATCTGTCTTTCAATTGGTTTTTACTGTAGTTCTTACTGTGGAAAATAATGGCTCTACATCTGCTAGATAAGTTAGCTAATCGTTGGCATTGCAATTAATTCTTGATATTTTAGTTTTTGGGCCAGGGTGATTAACCATTAGCTGAGATGGTGGAGCATTTGGTCTTTCTCTTACAGCAAGATAATTGTGAAATTAGTAATTCTTCAGTGGATTTTCATCCATACTGATTTTCATCCATATTCATTCATCTATGCTCCTACTGCTACATATTACCATACTTTCTTTTATCTATGCTTCCTTACAAATTATAAATGACTTCTATTTTGCTTGCATTGATCCTTTTGTTACTCTAATGTTTTGGATCAATTGATTATGAAATTGTTTCTCATAGGTGATTAGAATTCAATGTTTTGGTACGTCTAGTAGGAAGGGATGTTTATTTCTCAGAATATTAATCGACTGGAGCTTGGTGAACGTTGACATTTTAAAAGATGAGAGAAAACAAAGCAATAAAAAAACCTGGTGATGCAGCTGTTGTGCATTTGAACTTAAATTGTTACATTTCATGCTAAGTGTTCTCATTTTAGTGAAGAGATGATTAGGAAAGTCTATAAATAATTCAAACTATGTCAGTTGAGAATTGTTGCATGTGTGAGGCAACACTCTTAATATTTTAGAGTTGATGAAAGCTCGGGGAAAATAAATATAATTTTGATTTGTTTTAGTAGCTGTATGGTTTTTGACTATTGTTATTGCTTAATGGTAATCATTTCTAAGGTAATTGCACATTTTACCCTCTGCATCTCAAATAAATTCCTTATAATTATTGTTGTTCTCTATCTTCTCCTTAACAGGTGCACTTGACTGAGAGAGAAAGGCAGAAACTGCCTTACAGAGAGTCCTTCGCCTGGGTTATTGTTCCTTTATTTGATAATAGCATTGGTGGAGCTTCTGGTGGATCTGCTTCTCCTAGTAGCCATCTTGCTGCCAGCATGTCTGGGTCTAGTTCCCATGAGGGTGTCCTTGAGTCTGTTGGGTATTTAGAATGCGTGTGTGGACTCTACAACAAAAATCTTGATACTTATATTGATCCTACACCAATAAGATTTATTTTGCTTGCGAGCATTATTTTGATTCTTTATATAATTAAGCTGTGTATGATTGATTCCATATGCCTAGGCTGTATAAACGTGAACGTGATAGAGGAAATTCTTAAACTCCATCTTTCTCCTTAAAGAAATATTATATTTTATACATTGATTGATTTTTATTGGTTTAAGTACCATTTTGGTCCCTTAACTTGTCACTATGGTACCAAAATTGTCCCTCAACTTTAAAAAGTACCAAAATTATCCTTAAACTTTCATTTTCGGTACCAAAATGGTCCTTCCGTCAGTTAAATTACAGGTGGCACGTTAAAATACCAGCAAATCAATTCTTTTTTTTCTTAACTAATGACATGGAAAAAAAAAAACATAGTTGGCATTTTTTTTTATGAGTTGGCACTTTCATTTAATTTAAAAATAATAGTTCTTTTTTTTTTCACCCACGTCAGATTCTTCTTCCTCTTTCAT